AAAAACCTAATGAAAAACTGGACCATTTGGAGCAAGGGAGGTAAGATTTTTTAGGGGTTGAAATAACAAATCTTCCTTGTAAATCTAAGCATTTTCAAGAGTTTGTTGAAAAATCCATGTAGATAACATGAATGAGAATGCCAAGATGGATAAGTGGATCAATTTTCATCTCATTCCGACATTTAAGGTCGGTAGTCAATGGTGGCTAGTCATCTGGGTTTATAAAGAGCTGTTTGTTTTAGGTTTTTGGGTTTAAAGAATTTTTCTAAGTTTAATTTTGGGTTTAAATAATTTTTAATTAATAAAAATAAAGAATTTAATGGTAAAATATACTTAACAACTCATGCAAGTCACTACCATTAAGCAATCCTGATTTGAATACATCTGAAAACATTTAGTTCTACATTGAACCAAATTAAAGTTGATATTCTCAATTGAGAAAACACCGAAACATTATATTTTTAATTGAGCATTTAGCCTTTTGGTTTCTGAGCATTTTATGAGTACCTACTCTTAGCTAGATATATAATTGTTTACACCAAAAAATAAAAAAAAAGTCAAATTATGCCAGAAGTTCTTGTGCTTGGACAAAATTTGAAATTTAGTCAATATATTGTAATTCATATAAATTTAATCTTCATACTATTTTAATTTGATAATTTTAGTCCAATCACTAACTCCATTAAATTTTTAACATTACAAATATTGATATGGTTGTTAACTTGATGACATAGGCATTGATTTTGTTGATATGACGTTGACTTTGCTAACATTGCAATTTGGGTGGATAAAATCAATTGTCAAATTATGCCAACAGTCCTATATATTCACATGAAATTTAAACTTTAATCCTTCTAGTATAATTTATAAAAATTTCATCTCATACAAGTTGAATTTTGTAATGTTAATCCAATTACTAACAAAAACCATAGGTTTTTTTTAAAATAGATTTTAACTTTTAGAATTTATCCATAATTTTAAAATATAAGATTTAATATTTTAAATATTTTAATTTCTTAAAAATCAAAATTTTGAATTTTTTAAAATCAAAATTTATTTTTAAAAGAAAATCCATATTTCAAATTTTTTTATAAATTTTCTTTATTTTAAAAATACTAAATTTATTTTTCAATATTTTAAATCTTTCTAAATAAAATTAATTTTTTAAGTTTTTTATTTTTCAAATTTTAACATTTTTATTTAAGCAAAACATTTAATTTTTTGTTTTTAATTTTTGAAATTTTTATAAAATATTCTATTCTTTTTAACTTTTTATACTTTTTAGAAAGTTTCTATATTTTTTATATTTAAAAAAATAAATAAATTGCATAGAAGATACAAGTCTTTATAATTTGTTCTGTTTTGGTATGTTTGAAATGAAAGAATCTAGGGTAAAACAGAAATTTGGCAGAACATGAAAATTTTTTGAATTCGATTTATTCTTTACTTGAAAAAAAAAAAAACTGGTAGAAAATTTGTAAAATTTATAAACTCTTTTTAAAAACATAAAAATTCTAAAACTTCTAAAAATTAAAAATTATAGAAAATTTTATGAAATCCCAAAAAACTAGAAACAATAAAATTAAATATTTGATTAAAATATTGAAATTTTTAAAAAAATTAAAATATTAAAAAATAAATTTAATATTTTTAAAATCTAAAAATTTTCTAAAAAAATCAAAATTTTAAATTTAAAAAAAATCTTATTTAAAAATTCAAAAAATATATAATTTTTTAAAAAATTAAAATAATTTAAAATATTTGATTTAATATTTTAAAATGATGAAAATTTTCTAAAAAATTCAAAATATTGATTTTTAAAAAAGTGATATATGATTCTTTAAAAAAATAAAAGAAAATGTTTTTTATTACTAATTGGACCAACATTTTCAAATTCAATTTTTACAAGAACAAGATTTTTATTAATTATAATAAAAGGATTAAAGTTTAAATTTTGTGTGAGTACATAACCATTTGCATAATTTGAAAATTAATTTTATTTATTCAAATTGTTATATCAATAAAGTAAACCCACTTAATCAAATAAAAGGTTATGTTAATATTTTTAATGATAAAAATTTAATCGAGTTAATTAAGATATAATTATCAAATTAAAATAGTACGAGAATTAAATTTTATAATTTTGTTTGAAGAGAGAGAGAGAGAAAGAGAGAGAGATAGGATCAAATGTAGTATCTCTCAATCATTGTGTGAAGGACAATTGCATTCATGTAAGATTATTTTAACCCTTCAAAGTATTGCTTAAAAAATCTGAAGATGTGAATCTGTTGAAGGTCTAAAAACCTTAGATTTATCGCGGATCTGCTATTAAGTTAACTTACAAAGCAGCAATGCAAGAGTGGGTTTGTCACACAAAATCCTGATATTTTAAAAAAAAAAATTTTCGATTGACTAATTATATCAATCAAATGCTCATGCAATTCTCAGTTAAGGTGGTTGTAGCCTACACTATAACTAGGCTAAGTAATATCTTTTTCATTCATAATTTGACTTTTTTTTTTTTAAGAAAAATTCAAAATAAATAAATTGTTCAGTTCTTTAAATTATGATAAAATAAATCATATCGATAATCTAAAATAAGTGATTATAGATTGTATATTTGAGATGACTTTAAAAAGTGATCATTAATAAAAATCGAACTTAAAATTTTTTTATCGAAAAAATAAATTTTAACTAATTAAACTAATCACTTATTGATATAATTTGACTTTGTTTTTATAATTATTATCTTTACTATGAACAGCTATGCTGTAGATTATATGGTGGTTGTGCAGGCGGGTGGAATTGAAAAGATTTTGGATAGAACTTTCTGTTACATTTATTTGTTTTATTGATTCTATTTCTTATAACATTATTTTGTTCGTAAATCCCATCAAAGCAATATTCCTAATAGGAGATTAGAAGAACAACAGCCACTGGTGAAAAGTTTTGCCATCTAACCCAAGGTCTTTATATACTATAACATGTGAGGATGGATTCAAGATTTATGATTAGTGGATGTAAATATTTTAAATTAATTTAAATTTTTTTATTGAAATATATATTAGTATAAAAAAATTCTAAATAAAATTAAGATGTATAACATATTTTTTTGTACACGAAAAAAATTTTGCGGTAAAAAAATTTATGTATAGCTAAAATTAATTATATGATTCTTAGCAAACAAATATAGCCTAAACACTATTTAAATAAAATCATCTTTCAATATAAACAAATATATATTAATTTAATAAAATTTTCCTTATAAAATTCATAAAGATTGATATAAATGTGAAAGAATAATATAAAAATAACATATCTAGTTTTATTACTCACTTTTAATATGTCTATTTTTATTATTTAATTTTAATAAATAAACATATTTTATTTTTTTATTTATTATAATTTAGAGAATAAAAAATTGCCTCTTTTCTTACACCCAATGAAAAGAATAATGAAAATATAAATTTATATTTTTTAAAAAAAAAAATTTATTACTTCTCATTTTATATCTTTTTTTTTTTTGGTATTAAAGGAGTGGTTAAAGCCGTTTAAGTATTACAAACTTAAGGTCTCGTTACCCTTACAAGATCACCTTGAATCAATTTAACAAGTTATTAAACAGAATTTTAAATTTAATAATTTCAAATTCTTTAAAAATAATTTACTTTTTTTTTTTACAAACTTAAGTATATATAAATATATATTATAACAAAATTGTTTAGCACTCAAAATGCCAATGTTTTAATAGGGGCAAAGTTTTAAATTTTCAAAACTTTTGTGATTTTTTATAATAAAACTAAAAAAAATTTTGGCATGTAAAATGAGCATAACTTATAAAGAAGGAGAAGGTTTAGTTCGAAACTAATACCTAACTGCTTAATCACTGGGTCGAGGAATTAAGGACAAACCTTAAAGAAAATTTAAGAGGTTGCTATGTACATCCGTCCTGATAATACAGCATAGATTCAAGTGAAAATCATCAGATGGTGATAAGAGTTTTAGAATGTTTTTATGATGTGATTATGTGTGTATAATTCATACGTTTAGTTTCTCAATCAATTTTAATAATTGATGCTTTTAGCTTTATAGCTAATAGATTGAATTCCCTTTTTTTTTTTTTCTTTAAGTCCTCTTGTGAATTCAAACTTCAGCATATGGAATTCATATTTTATTAGTGGTGATCTTAGTAATTTCTCTTAAACTATGGTTTGATAATAAAAAAAATTATTACATGTTAAAAATTAACATTCTAAACTTATTAAATAATAACTCTTAATAGTATTTACATGTATCGACTGAACAACTGAATTTTCTAATTAATTGAGAACCGTAGGTTTAGAAATTATATAAGTTGGGTTTGAACAGAAAAATTTTTAGTTTGCTGGATTCACTTTCTTATTGCTTAGATAAATTTTCTTATTACTCATTTTTTTTAGTCATTTTTTAATAAAATCAGTGATAATTAAAATAATTTTGAAAAAAAAAATGTTACATACATATGATTTATCAATTTTTTTAATTAAATAAATTTGTTTGGATCTCTTAGTGAAATAAAACAAAATGATAAATGATAAAAATAGTTTTTTAAAAAAGTAACAGAAAATGAAAATAAAATGTGCATCTGTCTTATTATTTTTACTTTTTTATTTCTCATTATTTTAATGAAATTTTTTATAAAAGCTGTAATTTAAAATAATTTGATGAAAGTTGAATATCAAAATTTATCCATATATTAATCAAATAAATTACCAAAAGCATGCATAAAAAAAATTACCAAAAGCGGGGTATTTCGCCGTTGTTATAAACTGAATAATAAATACTGCTTCAATTAGTTACTACAGCCATATCAGAAAATTTTTATTGTTATGTATTTAATATTATAAATTTAATTTTTTTTTATAATATTGATGTATCATATTTTTTATTATTAAAAAATAAAAAATCAAATTTAAATATAGAAAAATAAGTCCCAAGTGGTAAAAAAAATCACTTTGAAACAAAAAGAAAAAGCAATGGTACAGAGAAACTAACAAAAACACAAGGTATGATAAAATTGTCATGGATGATGAATGGTCACCTCAAATCGTAGTCATGAAATTTTCATTGAGCCTGAGCTTGGACCGGTAGATCTCGATACACATGCCACTTTTTGTATCTTTGAAACCCAGGCAAAACAGGTCTGCAACGAGGGGCAGTCGTGCAATTATAACAGCAACATCCTCTCAAATCCATCACACAATTTGCACAACATCTGGACAGTAGAGATAAATCCAATCAACCTCCGTTTGTTTAAAGCTAAAATGAACTTGTGGAAAATAAATATTTTATGTTAAAAAACATTTTCCCCAAAATTTGATGCTTCCGTGAGCAAAATATGATATTTTCCTGAAAATATGATATTCTGTTATTTGCTTGATACCATGAGCAAAATTTTTTGCTGCTCGGTTGATAATAAAACACTTTCAAAGTTTTTGTTAAATTATAAAACAAATCTGCCAACTGTCATGAGTTATATATTAATAAAATATTAAACTCTTAATTCTAGCAATTAAAGTTCAAATTTAGACAATTTCAAATTCCAAAAAGAAAAAAACTATAAAACAAATCCTTATATTCATGCCATAAACTTGAAAGTTAATAAATCTAATAATAAAATAATATAACCAAAACCTTAGTTAAACATTTAAATATTCATAACCAAATCAACAATTTATCATTATCGTCAACAGTTTTTCATTGTCATCAATAATTTTGCATAGTTCCTCAAGCAAAATCCAAATTTTCTTGAGTTAACCGGATGTATTTTTCCTTATCAACTAATAATTTTTCTTGACCAACTCAAGCGAAACTCCAAATAAATTATTCATCAACAATTTTCAAACAAGCAAAACTCCAATAATTATTCATCAACAATTTCCAAACGAGCAAAACGTTGACTTCGACAATTTTTTTGGGTCTTTAGGGTTTTTTATTTTTTTTTTCAGATTTTCGAGTCAAACGCCACCTATTCTTTACATAGGAAGAGGATAGAAGAGGAAATTTTGAACGAGGAAGGCTTCAAAATATAACCAAGCTAACCACTTATCGTCTACTCATTACCAAATCAAAAGAAAATTAAAAGCAAATAAAACTCCAAGGCCTCAAAATATATAAGTCTAGGTTATAAACAAATTTAGACATCAACCAAAAAATGTAAAGAATAAACAAAACATCAACAACAACAACAAAAACAAAAGATTGAAAAAAAGCAACCATTATAGATTAATACCAAAAGCACAAGGTCAATGGAGCGGATAATTAGGATGTGATGGGGGAAGCACAAAGCTATGAAATAGTTAGGTATTGGAGTGTTTTGGTCCTAAGCAGATTAAAAAATTTTAAAACCTAATATTGCATTTGCATGTATCGGTGCAAATATAGCAAACCTCCCAAAGGTAATTTGAATTCGAAAAATTTATCCAACTCAAACCAAATTGATCTAAAACCAAATTAAACTCAAAAGACATGAAAAGCTAATCCAAAATGACTCAAACTTAAATTAAATATAATTTTATTTTTCTTTCAAATATTAATTTGATTAAAAAGATAAATGACACACTATTAATTTGGTTTAGTATATGTTCGTCGTAGTGATTTAAAAAAAAGAATAATATTTTTTTCACTTGAATCCCATGTTCGTCTAGAAATTTAATATCTTTCATTCAATCATATGTTTCCCTTTAAAAGTTGACTAAATACTCAAATTAGAATCATACCTTTATCAAATGTTTCATTTCAGGATTAAGCATTTTTATTTTGCTCAAAATCAGATTTAATCTTTTTCTAATATAGGATAAATTTCACTGATGTTGAGCTCATTTATCTTACACCCCTACAAGTCACATGGAAAGGTTAAATGCCAAGATGTTCTGTCATATTTTGGGCAGGTGGCATGACAATGTGGTAAAAATTAATGCCATGTGCAGATTATCACAAATGTACTAGCACTGTTCTCTCTTTTTATTTCTTTTTCTTTACTTTATCTCTTTCCTTCTATTTATTCCTTTTCTTCCTAGTTCTCCACAAGAAATAATTGCAGGTCATACTACCACCAACCCTTTTGACTTCGAGTCTTGGTCTAGATGTGGCCATTGCAAGCAACGGTCATTGCTACGGGGCGAATTCTGGCCTTCTAGTGCTGTGTCATACTACAATTTACCACTATACACTGCCTCGACGTTGCAAGGCTCGATCCAACCCCTAGTATGTCAATACGAGGTTGCAATGCCAAATATGGCCCTTGCTATTCCCTACTCAACCATGAAGTTTTTATTTCACTTACTTTTGCCACATATAAAATTCCCTCTTTGTTTAGGTCACTTATTCACACACCTCACTAAATATTGGTTTGGCTACCGTTAACTATTTTTCCCTTTTATTTATTTATTTTTTTTGTTGTATGTTCGAGGTTAGAATTAGGGTCTCTAAGAAATGGAAGCAAATGAGATTCGGTTTTAGTTAGAGATAAGATTATAATCGGTTGTGGGATTTTAGATGGATGGTTTCAGGTAAGACATTGGAATGGGTTTGAAGCTATAATTTTTATTAACAAAAGAAAAAAAAAAAAAAAGGTGTAATTTTAGGTTTATGGCTAGTGATTTTAGATTCGGGTTTGATGAAGATTGATCCAAATGGAAATTCTCTCAATATTTTTAGCGTTTGTGATCTTTGGTTTCTTAGCTTCAAATTTTCTGTATTTATTTTGAATGAAAACCTAGGGTTTCCGATCTTAGGTTTCTTAGCTTCCCATTTCAATTCAATTTGAAAAAACCTCTTGCAACTAGGTTCTTTTTTAGAAAGAAAAGAGAATGAAATAAAATAAATGAAAGAAAGGAAAAGAAAGTGTTGTAAATATAATAAGTAAATAAATTTACTTCATTATAGGACTTTCTATAGCTTGATTTTAGAATACAAATTGATTCAATTCTCTAGCTTGTGTATTTGTTGACCTACTGTAATTCATTTGCCAAGTGAATGAAAAAACTTGTTCTTCCTTACCACAAGAAAAGAAAAGAAGCAACAAAAGAAGGACAAAATTCCAGTTCAATTGCCATTGGGAAAAAAACTTTTCCATCTTGGCAATGGCAGGAGTAAAAAAATGTCATGTGTAAAATAATAATAGAGTTAAGAGTGTGCAAAATAAACATGCTCAACAAGGTTGGAATTTGTGTTGAAATTAACAATTGTGGAAAGATAACATCTTAAATTGAACACAACAGAAGGTTTGATCCTAAAAAGAAATATTTGGTAAAAGTTGAATCTTAATTTGAGCATTTAGTCTAGTAAGTTTCCTTTTAGTGCCGACTTCATCTATGTCATTTTTTTATTATTATTAACTATTCTTGTTGAAATCTATGTGATTAATATGACAATACCCGAGTAAAATTGAATAAAAGATTAGAATAGGCAATTGAAATGAATAACTAAGACTTAATTAGATTTATTTCATATTCCAAATCATATAGAAAATTAATGCTTAAAAATTAGATTCAAACAATTAAGTCTATTATGATTTTTTTTATTGACATGATATAATATTTTAAATTACAGTTAAATAATTATGAGGACATATCACATATGAACTCACTTACATTTGATTAGGCCAATTGGGCTTTGAATTTTGGACTATATAAAAATCATTTTAATAATATCCCATGACCACCTATAGGTAATGTTGAATTGACCTAGGAGAACAATATCCAATTGAAGCCTATTAGGTATGGAAGTTGAGAATTAAGTAGAGCCATCCATAGGCTGAGACGCTAAGTTACTCATCAAGCTAGCAAGCGAAACCTTGTACATGGATTTTTACGTCCAAGTCTAGTCAAATTATTTTTTATTAATAAAAATATTTATTTAAATTTAGTTTTAAAATATATTAAAAATTAAAATATTAATATAAAAAAAAAATTTTAATGTATTTTGAATAATATCAAGCTCATTCGAGTTTAAATGGGCAAGCCAAGGACTATGGACAAAGCTTTTAAAGTGGCAACTAGGCTTGGCCCGACCTAGACTGATCCATGAACACAGAATTTCAGTAATATTGCTATATTTGACTTAAAAGTGAAAAACTAAAAGCAAGTAAAAACATTTTAATTTAATAGAAAAGTTTATTGTTTGTTCTATTATTCAAAAAAACCTACTCTTTTTCCAATGATCAAAGTACCTAAGAGGATTTGTGTACTATATGAAAAAAATAATAATAAAGTAGTTTAGACTCCATTTGTTTTGTAGAAATGACTTTCGAAAAATAATTTCTAAAAAATATTTATATTTGTTGAATTGAAAAAGATTTTCTATTGCTTGGATGAGTTAATAAAAAATATTTTTTGTTATTTGATTATTTTATGAAAAATCTTTTTTTCATATAATATTAATATAACTATTAAAATATTAAAAATTATTTATTATTAAAATATATTAAAATTATTAATATTAAAAAATAATTATATTTTAATAATAATATTTAATATTAAATTATTATGTTAATATAAAAAATGCTTAAAATAAACTATTTATTATTCTTTATATTATTTATTAATGTATTATAATATTATTTATTAATAACATTTATTAATATATTATCTTAATAGTATATTATTTATTAATAATATTATTTATTAATATATTATTATAATATTTATTAATAATATTATTTATTACTATATTATATTAATAGTATATTATTTATTTATATAATATTATTTATAAATATAATTATGCTTAAAAGTATTGATAAATAATTCTACTCAGACAATTTTTTTTGAAAAATATCTTCCCCTGTAAGATAATTTCTAGAAAAATGATCTCCTTTTCTATTTGTCAAAAAGTCATTTTTTGTTGATCAACCAATTTTTCATCAAACAAACATCTGAAAGTGCGAAAATCATTTTTTGTGAAACAAATGGAACCTTAGTCTCTGTATTTCAATTTTAGGTCAATTATTTTAAATGATTGATTGAATTAAAATTTAACAAATATATATTACTTTACTCAATGTTTTGAACCAAAAAAAAAATTTTTAATTTTAATTAATAATGATTTATAAATAAAAATGATCAAATGTGAAAAAATTTAGTCGAAAAGGTAAAACTCAAACATTAATTTAGAAATATATTTTTTTCTTAAACATAGAACCTTAAACATGACAACCACGAAGAAAAGTAAGAAAGCTTAAAGTTCAAACATCAAGAGAAAAAAAAGAAATACAATAAGAAAAATTGACTTACCTCGTGAACTATAATTTCACATTAATCTAAACATTATATTTTCTATTATGGAGATCAAAAGTTTCACTTCCAAAATTCATGCATAGATTGGCCCAAAAAAACTTATGAATAGGCTGCCATCAGCCCTCTATGCAGAATCTTTCAAGAATTCCCAGATGTCCATAGATTTAACTTCAAGAGTTAAAATCACAAGCTAGAACTACTAGAACCAAAACAGTGATATAATAGATTATAGTATGTAGGTGAATTATTTTTAATGGCTTTTTTTCTAACAATCCTATGCATTTTCATTAAACAGAAACAACAGCCAGAATAAACGTGTTTTGGTTATAATTAGGTAGCATATATGTATCTAGCGAGAACTAAACCTTAATAAGTTAATGCATGCCAAGTATGCAATAAAAGGGGAGAAAATACTTACAGGAAAAGAAAGTTGCAGTCAGGATTTGCACAGTTCCGATGCCTTAACTCAGAAACTTGTGAACCACAAACGTAGCATTTACCAAATCTATCACTGTCAAAAGCGTGCTGAGTTGTGCTGGCTTTGATGATCCCTTCATGGTTATAGGCAGATGGTGGGAGAGAAAGACGAGAGTCAAACGTAAATAAGTTCCCAACCCATTTTACCGGACCTTCAGTTTTGAGGTAATGAGAAACCCCTCCCTCCAAGGTGTACAAATTTTGGAAACCCTGTTGTCTAACAAAAAAAAAATGGACCACCTTGTTAGAATGGACAATTTTTTCTATTGCAAAGTAATTCAATCACAGGTAAGATGTATTTTATAATCATTATCCCACTCTACTATAAGTAGAAGTTACATCATTACTTGATTGAGCATTCCCTCTTTAGCCTCATTCCCTACATATAAGTGTCATGTCCATGTTCAACAGACACATCACCAATATGTGGGATACATTATTTACCCTTTTTGTTTCCCTTTTGGCCTTCCATTTCTTATGTAGTTAGACAAGAAAAAGAAGTTAAATTTCACTAACACCGCTTATGATATCAAGTTTTCTCTCATAGCACCCTTCGATATTTTTCCTCAATTAGCTTTATATAATTAAGTTTAATTCCAATAGAGTGTTATGCTGTTAACGTTATCCATTAATACCCTTAAAGGTGAATAAATAAGATTGTTTTTAATTAAGGGAATTTTGATATTTTTATTAGGTGAAATCAACAGTGTAATCCGTCTGATACAGAACTTAATCATAGGTTGCTAACTGAGAAAAAAAAATCATGAGATGCCATGTGGAAAAAGTCTTATGTATCATCGGGTATATAATTTTGTAGGGTCTAACAGATTTTGAAGCTTTTTCTGCATAACATTTGGTCTAAACATATTTCAACATTTAAAGCCCAAAACGTAAGGTGCAACATATTTAGAAAAATATTTGCAAGATAATTAAATTAACTTAACAATCGATTAATGTAATATAAATTGTTTTATATTGATTTTATTTATTGTAAAAGACTTTTTACTATCTACCTAGTTAAAAATAAATTAAAATATATTATTATATTTTTTTTAAAAGGAGGGATCCACTTACATTAATGTATTTCTTTTTTTTTTTGAACCCTTGGAAAAAAAATTAAATCTATGACTCATTTATATCAAAATAATATTTTTAAATTTAGCAATTTTGATCAAAGATCCAAAAATATATAAAAGTTACATTAGTATAAGTGAATTCCTACTCTTTTTCTAATATGTTTTTATTGTGATAACCCACCATGTTCCATACCATTGTCTCTATCATGTCGGACTATATCCCGTTTCTAGGCTTCCTACCCATCCTTTCTCTTTAACTAGAGAATGCCTTTAAGAATTTTAAACAGTGATGTTGGACAGTGGTATCTTGGACACACTATGCTAAAAGTACACGCATTGAGTTAGAATTAAGATACCATGCTTGAGCCTATGCCATTCCTTTTACTTCTCTAATTTTTGCTTTAAAGATACTGTTTTTATTGTTGAAATATTAGATATGTAACTTGATGTGCTTGTTTGAGTTTTTAGATGTTTTTATATGGTCCTTTCTAGAATCGTGTATTTTTTAATTCAGTTATAAAACCTTCTAAATTTCAAACATAAAATGTAACAGAAAAGAAAGAAAAGGAACAGAACAGCAGGCTACCTTAGGATTGTAGAATATACATCACAACGTATACCCCCAGTACAATACATCAAAATATCAGTTTTTTCTTTATCAACCTGCGATAGTTGATCTGATGCAACACCCTGCAAATGTCAAGTACAACACATCAAAATATCAATTTTTTCTTGATCAACTTGTGATAGCTGATATGAAGCAACACCCTACAAATATCAGAGTAGAGATAATAGCCTGCATTCATAACCAAAGATGCAAAACCCTAAAAACAAAAGAAAAAAAAAAGGAACAGAAAATATCGATACATATCACATTGCCACTATGGCAAAAAGTATATCCATATCATTTTTAAGTGTACAATTTGTGAGTTTTTAGAGTGTTAATAATTTTCTTTTAACAACTTACTTGAATTAGTAGTTTTTGTTCTTTCAGATTAGGCTTGGTCATAGCCTATAAAAATATCAATGTATTCTATTTTCCGGAGATTATGAGATTATGATAGAAGACTCTTCAGCATTATTACTATTGTGCTTGTGTGACGCAATCAAATATTAGGTGTGACTCCCAAGGTACCTTAGATGTGATGCTTAGTCTCACACCTCAAAATCGACACATAATACGGCCATATTACCTTAAACAATGTGCCAAAATAATACTAAGCGATTCTTTCTATCATTCATGTAAAAGGATTCTAATATATCCTCATTGCAAGTTCTCGAGTAAAATTCGTAACTGAAATCCAATACAACCAAATTTAAAGTCTCCCAAAGAAACAAAACAAACCAAATACATATTCAAGTATTGCTACATATCAAAAGATCTTCAAATAGCTAGTAATGTCTCATTACACAAGATAATTTACCAAATTCAATCTCCTGGCTTCCCACTAATTTAGAGCTCTTACCACTTAATCATATTAAAATGTAAAAGAGGCTATGAGCAAAACACAACTCAAAAAAGATAACTTCATACATCTTACTAGGTAGAGCATCATTTGTATGAACGAGATGGTATGATTTTCAACTAAATCCTATCTTAATCTATGCTATTTTACTATTCAAATTTTATATGGTTAGAAAGCTTGTTGAATCTAGTTTCTAACAAGCCAAACGGAATTGGAATATGAGTTTTCTAATGATTTGATCCATGGAAAGTGGATAATCAACACCAAAAGTAGTTCTACTACCCCCACTAATGGGTAATGGTAGCTTACATACAGGCTAATGGGTTATATAATTACCATAGAGCCTTGCTATTGGGTTTTAGTAATTTCCATATGACCTTCTAACAGGTTATAATTGTTAGTAATGATCATGAGAATTATATTTTCGATATGCTTGTTGTCACAGATTATAGTAGTGATCGTAGCTAATGATATAGATAATGAAACCTTAAGATTTCTAAAGACTAGATCTATAATTTGTTGATGCCATTTTTTGATATGATTCATATCTGTAAATGATTTGTGGATTTGTGAAATCACACATTTTGAAATGATAATGATTCTTTAATAATTTCTTAAATGTTTTGATAGCATGATTTAACTAATGTTCTTGAATGCCTTATATGATAAATTGAAATCAATGCTTGATCTGGTAAAATGTGAGACTATAGTTGTTGAGTTGTGATTTGGTCATACCCTTCTTAAAATTTATTTCCAATGATTTAGTGGTAAAAATTCTAAACTGGTGGGATGCTAGGAGACCTAATTTGGGAGATTGTTTTGGTATTGAGATATTACTAGCTATTTAAAAATCTTTTGAGATGTAACGATACTTGGATTTGTATTTGTAGAGAACTTAAAGAACATTTGTCCTTATTTCTTCTTATTCTATATACAATGAAGGAGTACATCTAAATAAATAGGAACAGTGAAGTTCCTTATTAGGAAACAACTTACATGAAATAGAAAACAAAAAATGATAAAAGGAAAGAAAATTATTCTATTCTAAAATAGAAACAAATCCCTAAAAACTTGACAATTAGAATAGTTGACTAAATCAGAAAAGTAAATGAGAAATATTCCCAAAATAAATTAGGAAATCAAGCTGCACTAATATAGGAGTATCAGATCTGCACTAATGTAAGAGAATCATATTTCTATACTCTCCCTCAAGCTAGGTTATGAATGTTAATCATACTCAACTTGGATTTTAATGCGTCAAAAATGCTTCTAGGAAGAGCTTTAGTCAAAATATCTACAACTTGTGAACTTGTAAGGATATAAGCCAATTTGACCAACCCATTTTCTATCTTTTCCTTTATGAAATATCGGTCCAGTTCTAGGTGCTTGGTCCTATCATGATAAATAGGATTTTTGGCAATTCCTATAGTAGCCTTATTGTCACAAAACAATGTCATAGACGTCACAATTTGAACTTTTAATTCTCCAAGTAACCTCATCAGCCAAATTCCTTCACAAATACCATGGGTCATTGCTTTAAACTTAGCTTTAGCACTGCTCCTAGCTACAACAACTTGCTTTTTACTTCTCCAAGTGACCAAATTGCCCAAACATAAGTGCAATATCCAAAGTGGACCTTTTATCTATTACTGATCTAGACTAATCAGCATCTGTCTACACCTCGATTGCTTATCCATTGACTTCTAAAAATACAGACCAAGACTCTTCTTTAAGTATTGTAAGATGCGATGAACAGCGTTGAGATGCTCCTTGGTTAAAGTATTCATGTTTCTACTCACCATCCTTACTGCAAACCCAATATCAAGTTGTGTGAGAGAGGTAAATAAGCTTCCCAACTAGTCTTTGGTATTGCCTTTTGTCCGTAAAAGAGCTTCCATTTTCACTTCCAATTTTATTAGTTGAGTCCATGAGTGTATTGGCAAGTTTGCATCCAATTATGCCCTCTTTTTTTAGTAGATCAAGTACATACTTACGCTGAGACACTGATATTCCATTCTTAAACCGAGCCACTTCCATCCCAAGAAAATATTTAAGGAACCCTAAGTCCTTTATTTCAAACTTCTTTGCAAAGAGTTTCTTCGAATTATCTATTCCTTCCTTGTTGTCTCCAGTGATTATGATATCATCCACATAAACAATACGAATAACTCTTTTTCCTTCATTAGTGAACTTAACAAACATAGTATGGTCAGACTAACATTAAAGGAATCCACACCTCTTCATTGACTATAAAAATATCAATGTATTCTATTTTCCAGAGATTATGAGATTATGATAGAAGACTCTTCAGCATTATTACTATTCGTGCTTGTGGTGATGCAATCAATAATTAGGTGTGACTCCCCAAGGTACCTTAGATGTGATGCTTAGTCTCACACCTCAAAATCGACACATAATACGGCCATGATTACCTTAAACAATGTGCCAAAATAATACGAAGCGATTCTTTTTCTATCATTCCATGGTTAAAAGTATTCAAATATATCCTCATTGCAAGTTCTCGAGGTAAAACTTCGTAACTGAAATCCAATAGCAACCAAATTTAAAGTCTCCCCAAAGAACAACAACAAACCAAATACATATTCAAGTATTGCTACACTATCAAAAGATCTTCAAATAGCTAGTAATGTCTCATTGCACAAGATAATTTACCAAATTCCAATCTCCTGGCTTTCCCACTAAATTTAGAGCTCTTACCACTTAATCATATTAAAATGTAAAAGAGGCTATGAGCAAAACACAACTCAAAAAAGATAACTTCATACATCTTACTAGGTAGAGCATCATTTGTATGAACGAGATGGTATGATTTTCAACTAAATCCTATCTTAATCTATGCTATTTTACTATTCAGATTTTATACGGTTAGAAAGCTTGTTGAATCTAGTTTCTAACAAGCCAAACAGAATTGGAATATGAGTTTTCTAATGATTTGATTCATGGAAAGTGGATAATCAACACCAGAAGTAGTTCTACCACCCCCACTAATGGATAATGGTAGCTTACATACAGGCTAATGGGTTATATAATTACCATAGGGCCTTGCTATTGGGTTTTAGTAATGTCCATATGACCCCTCTAACAGGTTATAATTGTTAGTAATGATCATGAGAATTATATTTTCGATATGCTCGTTGTCACAGATTATAGTAGTGATCGTAGCTAATGATATAGACAATGAAACCTTAAGATTTCTAAAGACTAGATCTATAATTTGTTGATGCCATTTTTTTATATGATTCATATCTGTAAATGATTTGTGGATTTGTGAAATCACACATTTTGAAATGATAATGATTCTTTAATAATTTCTTAAATGTTTTGATAGCATGATTTAACTAACGTTCTTGAATGCCTTATATGATAAATTGAAATCAATGCTTGATCCGGTAAAATGTGAGACTATAGTTGTTGAGTTGTGATTTGGTCATACCCTTCTTAAAATTTATTTCCAATGATTCAGTGGTAAAAATTCTAAACTGGTGGGAAGCTAGGAGACCCAATTTGGGAGATTGTTTTGGTATTGAGATATTACTAGCTATTTAAAAATCTTTTGAGATGTAACGATACTTGGATTTGTATTTGTAGAAAACTTAAAGAACATTTGTCCTTATTTCTTCTTATTCTATGTACAATGAAGGAGTACATCTAAATAAATAGGAACAGTGAAGTTCCTTATTAGGAAACAACTTACATGAAATAGAAAACAAAAAATAATAAAAGGAAAGAAAATTATTCTATTCTAAAATAGAAACAAATCCCTAAAAACTTGACAATTAGAATAGTTGACTAAATCAGAAAAGTAAATGAGAAATATTCCCAAAATAAATTAGGAAATCAAGCTGCACTAATGTAGGAGAATCAAATCTTCACTAATGTAAGAGAATCATATTTCTATACTCTTCCTCAAGCTAGGTTATGAATGTTAATCATACTCAACTTGGATTTCAATGCGTCAAAAATGCTTCTAGGAAGAGCTTTAGTCAAAATATCTACAATTTGTGAACTTGTAAGGATATAGGCCAATTTGACCAACCCATTTTCTATCTTTTCCTTTATGAAATGTCGGTCCAGTTCTATATGCTTGGTCCTATCATGATAAATAGGATTTTTAGCAATTCCTATAATAGCCTTATTGTCACAAAACAATGTCAGAGACGTCACAATTTGAACTTTTAATTCTTCAAGTAACCTCATCAGCCAAATTCCTTCACAAATACCATGGGTCATTGCTTTAAACTTAGCCTCAGCATTGCTCCTAACTACAACAACTTGCTTTTTACTTCTCTAAGTGACCAAATTGCCCAAACATAAGTGCAATATCCAATAGTGGACCTTTTATCTATTACTGATCTAGACTAATCAGCATCTGTCTACACCTCGACTGCTTATCCATTGACTTCTAAAAATACAGACCAAGACTCTTCTTTAAGTATTGTAGGATGCGATGAACAACCTTGAGATGCTCCTTGGTTAAAGTATTCATGTATCTACTCACCATCCTTACTGCAAACCCAATATCAAGTTGTGTGGGAGAGGCAAATAAGCTTCCCAACCAGTCTTTGGTATTGCCTTTTGTCCGTAAAAGAGCTTCCATTTTCACTTCCAATTTTATTAGTTGAGTCCATGGGTGTATTGGCAAGTTTGCATCCAATTATGCCCCTTTTTTTTAGTAGATCAAGTACATACTAACGCTAAGACACTGATATTCCATTCTTAGACCGAGCCACTTCCATCCCAAGAAAATATTTAGGGAACCCTAAGTCCTTTATTTCAAACTCCTTTGCAAAGAGTTTCTTTGAATTATCTATTCCTTCCTTGTTGTCTCCAGTGATTATGATATCATCCACATAAACAATACGAATAACTCTTTTTCCTTCATTAGTGAACTTAACAAACATAGTATGATCAAACTAACATTAAAGGAATCCACACCTCTTCATTGCCTTGGTCAACCATTCAAACCAAACTCGAGGAGACTGTTTAAATCCATACAAAGATTTCCGAAGTTTGCACACTTTGCCCATGTTGTCTTGCCTTTTGAAACCAGGGGGGAATTTTCATGTAGACATCCTCCTCCAAGTCACCATTTAAGAATGCATTCTTGATATCAAGTTGGTGGAGAGGCCAATCCAAGTTGGCTACTAGTGACAATAGAACTCTAATTGAATTGAGTTTGGCTACAGGAGCAAATGTCTCCTCATAGTCTATCCCATAGGATTGAGTAAACCGCTTTGCAACAAGTCTAGCTTTGAACCTGTTTATACTTCCATCTACATTGTACTTTATTGTGAAGATCCAATTAAATCCAACCGGGTATTTTTCTTTAGGCAAATTTAAAATTTCTCATGTCCCATTTTTCTCTAGTGCCTTGATTTCTTCAAGAACTGCCACCTTCCAATCTGGTTCATTGAGGGCTTCTCGAATATTTTTTGGAATTTGCACATTGTCAAGGTTAGTAGTAAAAGGTCAAAAGTTTGGATTTAACCTATCATATGAGATGTACTTACAAATAGGGTACCGAGTGCACGATCTCACACCTTTTCTTAATGCATTAGGAATATCAAGGTCACCAGTTGGCTCACAAGTTTCAATTTTAGATTCAATAGGGACATTACCTATGTTAGTTTCAGGTTTTTGGAGACTCAGATTAGGTTGATTTTTAGTACTAGGCTATGTACAGTTGTCCACTTCTTCCTGTGATTTTTGCTTCCTTGAGTAGACTATCAATTTTTTTTATTTTTTCTTGAATAACCTTAGGGTTTGAAAAGTCAAAAGTTGTCTAAACAAGTTGGGTTTTCAAATCTGCATGGCTAATAGATTGGATACGTTGAGAATTTGGTTTTAAATGGGCTAGTTGGGAATCTGGTTTTGAAGGGGTTGGTTGGGAAATTGGCGAGCCAACAACTAAGAATTGATATTCCCGAGTAGTATTCTCCCCGTAAATATCATTCTTGCTATAGTATGGAAGATTCTCAAGGAAGGTGACATCCATAGAGCTATAGAATTTTTTTGTGATGGGTGAGTAACACCTATAGCCCTTTTGGTTTGGGGAACAACCAAGGAAGATGCATTTTAAGGCTTTGGGATCAAGCTTGCTGCGGTTTTGTTGGCTAATATGAACAAAGGTAATGTAGCCAAAAAGTTTGATGGGAATGAAAACGATCAACCAAGTTTATGGGTAAAAAGCAAGGAGGGTTTGACAAGGTGTTTTAAAACCAAAAACTCGAGAAGGCATTCGGTTAACCAAAAAAGATGTAGTGAGGACAGCTTTTCCCCAAAAATATTTAGACACATTGGAAGTCAAAAAGAGGGATCTAGTCACTTCTATCAAATGTCTATTTTTGCGTTCGACAAACCCATTTTTTTGTGGAGTGTCAATGCAAGAACTTTGATGGATAATGCCATGATTGGTGAGGTGAGGGCTGATAATAAAGTTGAAGTATTCCCTTCCATTGTCAGATTTTTAGGACTTGGATTTTGGCTTGGAATTAGGTTTGTACCATGCTATTGAAGTTTTGAAAGATTTGGCTAACCTGGAATTTTTCTTTCGTAAGGAATACCCGAGTCGAGTATGCTCATCAATGAATGTAACAAACCACCTAGAACCTTTGATATTGTTAACTCGTGACAACCTCCAAACGTCACTATGAATAATTGAGAAAGGCTAAGATGATTTATAGGAAAGGCTAGGGTAGGTATTTCAAATGTGCTTAGAAAGTTGACAAATTTCACACTGAAAATCTCTAAAGATGTTATTAAATAATGAGGGAAATAGCCTTCTTAGGTAAAAAATATTTGGATGTCCTAATCTATAATGCCATAACATGATAAGGTCATCTTTATTAGTACTAGTGGCTAAGGCTATACAAAAGTCTTGTGGTCTCTCAAGTGCATCATCTTGAAGAAGGTAAAGCCCTGCACACATCCTAGCACGGCTAATAATCCTCCCCAAGCCCAATTCCTAAATTCACACAAGTTGAAAAAAAATTTAGTGGCACAACATCTATCTTTCGTAAGCTTACTAATAAAAAGTAGGTTACAGCATAAATTAGACACATGGAGGACAAAGTCAAGTGTTATGTCTTTCGAAACTACAATAGTACTTATTCCTGCCACCTATGAGAGAGAGCCATCAGCAATTTTTACAGCAGAGCTATCATAGCAAGGTCTATATGTGTTGAATAAGGATGCATCTCCAGTCATGTGATCTGATGCTCCTGAATCAACAATCCAAGATTGTGTATTTCCTCATTGAACACTCGAGGATTTTAGGAAATTACCTTTTTGTACTAGTAAACTAGTTCCAAATGTTGCAGACTTGTTTTGAAGGGTTTATTGGAGCATCAGCTCTTTGTAACTTTCCTCATGCCATACCTCTGCAGAAGAAGAGTTCTCAGTCCTGCTAGCCATATGGAAACTTGTGTAGCTACAGTCTAATGGTTCAGGCCGACTTGCTTTGATACCATGAAGAAAACTTAAAGAACAATTGTCCTTGTTTCTTCTTATTCTATCTACAATGAAGGGATACATCTAAATAAATAGGAACGGTGAAGTTTCTTATTAGAAAATAACTTACATGAAATAGAAAACAAAAAATAATATAACGAAAGGAAATTATTCTATTCTAAAATAGAAACAAATCCCTAAAAACTTCACAATCAGAGTAATTGACTAAATCAGAAGAGTAAATAACAAATATTCCCAAAACAAATTAGGAAATCAAGCTGCATTAATGTAAGAGAATCAGATCTGCACTAATGTAGGAGAATCAGATTTCTTCAGTATTTGGTTTGATTGTTTCTCTTGGAGACTTTAAATTAGAATGTATTAGCTTACCAATGTGAATGTGATGTATAAAGAAGTTTTAGTAAGACTTTATAAAGGACTTTTATATCAATGATAGAACGTACAATCTCTTATAACTCTGGAGTGTTGCTTAAGGAAAATTGTCTTCACTTCAAGGTGATATGGTTGTGTTATGTCCCAATCTTGGGGCATGATACTAATTGATGCAATCAAGGAATCCTAAGTATACGCTTATGGATTTTTTTTTTCTATTTCCCTTTTGTTTATTCAATTTCCGCTATTTCCTTAAGAATTTCAGGTTATTGCTATAAAAAACCTTGGCCCTCCAAGATGTCCCTTCACTTATCTTATTAGCATTTCTTGACAATTGCATGTACGTTCTAGTGGCAAAGCAAAAGACTGTTAAGAGCATCATTGACTCGAAGAAACCCAATGGAACCCCACAGAAAAAGTAAAAAGGAAGTATCAAGTATCCACTTCCTTTAGCTACTTGAGTCTGTGTCTCACTCATGCATTTGAAACTTTCTGCTTCTTGCAATGCATCAATGCAATAAAAGGAAGGCATTACAGAAACTATGGCAAAGCCTACTTACTCCACATCAAGAGAACTCTCTACAACCAACTTACCACTTTATTCTTAGGAGAATACTACCATAAATTCATCACCTAAATCCTGGTATGGCCTGTTCGTCAAATTTTGAACCTTCCTAGGTTGCCCAATTTAAAGTTTCCTCAATCTTTCTATTTATTTATAATATGACTTCTAATTTGTTTTAATTGTTAAATTCATGAATTTTGGACACCAATAGAAAACTGTTTAAGAAAAACCCCCCTAAACAAACTTGCTGGCTAGCAGGGTTTTAAGCATGCCCCCATGTGTAAATATTAAAACCAAAATTTGAAGTCAACAAAGTAACATCATACAAGCTTACCTCAGTTGGAGATAGTCCAAATGAAGTGCTTCTAAAGCAGTCCACATCCGGTCGTTGAGCACCATGAAAGTGACCAATATCCCATTCATAACCTAAAATCAAGGAATCCCAACATCTTCAAACTTTCATAGGAGAATAACGAGAAACATTCTATAAGAGTTCTATAGTAAACCATTACTTCTCTAATAGTTAGCCAAAACCTCAACTTGTACTCTTTTTTTATTGCACTTTGGTCATGGTAACAATTCAACTTGAGACATATTTAACTTCTTTTTTCAATTGTTAATTTGAAGAAGGGGAATTTGAACTCGGGCATCTGTTTGCTGATAAATGAATGCCAATTAGGTTATTACTATGATACATTTGTAACATCATCACAGGCACCAACACTCCACAAATTCAAATCTAACATCATGACATGCACCAACACCCAACAAATGTAACAAGGTGATCGAAGTTGGTTACTTGGTTTCAAGAGTGACTCTAATGTAGCCACATACAGAAACTTCATCCTATAAATAGAGTCAAAATCATTCAAATCTCCTTACTCTAGTTTCCATTTTAGCAATAAGGAACAATCCTGGAAAAAGCTGACTATAGAGCTTCATGCACCAAATATCCTCCAAACATATACTACTAACAATGGTATCAAGAACTTGAAATCATAAAATTTGTCCCAGCCCCTGATGCTCCTTAAACCAAACTGAGTGGGACATCTAATAATCCAAAAACACCATGAATTCAATTATAGCCTAATTATTTGCCTCCATTTGCTACTCTTTCCACGAGGAATGACTATAGCCTCTGTGTAAGAGCCTAGTTGAGAGTTGACAGTTCTCTACTGCTTAAAACTCGTGACTTGATTGCAAAACAGGAAATGTTCCTCAACCAAATGTTATCTACATTAATCAATACAGTCCCACAATGATGGCTTTGTAGTTAATTACTCCCATGAATTATGGTAGGCACACTTGTGGAGAAACTAAAAAATAAAACCGTGTGGAAAACCAAGGGTAAAACTGAATGTATATTGAAAAACTGCTCCTAAGAATTATACAAGCACCTTAGGTTTACATATAACTAACTAGTAGGTAAACTAGGAAACTAATCCTCCTAAAATTGATTCTATAATTGAGGGGTTGTCTATCCTAATTTTCTGTCCTTAATTCTAGGGATATAAATACTTAATTCTATAAATACAAATATAAATATACAAATTACAAGATTACAACTAGCTGTAAATAAGTGTTTTCCTACAACACTAGTCAGTATTCATTCAAGAGTACCTATACACCATTTAAAAAGATTCTATTTATTAAGTAATCCTTGTATTCTATTTAGCACCAGAATTTCTACATTTTCCATTTCAGATTCTTAACCAAAAAAAAAAAAAAAAAAGAGAGAGAGAAATCAACAAAAAAGGATTTGAGGGAAGATTCAAAATTATTTTTAGCAATAATTATAACTAGAGAATTCATTTTAGGGAATCGGCCAAGCACTTGGACCTTCAAAACAAAATGATTCAAAGGAATCAATTTATAAATGGCAAAAATTGCTAATCCACTTATCCAAAGGGAAGAAAGTATTGAATACCTGTGGTGTACCCTTTTCCGGAAGCACATTATATTGGCTAAAGGATGCATCTTATTAAAGAGGAGGTTTTTCAGACAAAGAAAAAGGAAGAAAAAAAATAAAAGATTTTGCATAAAACTAATTAAAAATGATATCATTTCAGAACTGTATAAACAGAGCAAGGTCTTTCATTTTGCAAACAGATTAAACAACCGATGCAGCTGAACTCATTTGATTGGGTTTTAAGATGATCTGAATCAGTTTCTTGAAACTTAAGAACACCTGCACTTTCTTTTAACCATTTGTGTGCAGTCTATTGATGTAATTTATTGCCTAAGTGACCACCATAAAATAGTTGAAAAAGCCATAGGTGTTGCACAAAAGTTCATGAGTTCGACAAGTGCACCTCATGCCAACATGGTTAAAATACCACCCCAAACTGCCCTTTTTCATCAGCACACAGTGCAGGCTTTAGCTGAAACATGGATCTAAAATTTAAGTAAAGCATCATATATATTTGCTTTTACAAAGACAACCACCTTATATTTTGAGAACAAAAAGTAATAATAACTTGCAAAAAAAGAAAATGCCAACAAGTTCATTCACCATATAAGAATTTGAAACAGACAACAATCTAATAACTGCCCCTCGAGCCAACCCACAACCACCTGTCCCCTAGCACACAGAGCAAGGAACAGATAAAGGACAAATTTAAAATACAAGTAAAGCCTTTCCATCTATTTGGTTAGGAAAGAAAACCTTTGAGAACAAAAGACAAAAAATTATAATTTGCAAAGAAAATGATGCAAAAATGAAGTTAACCATTTAAGAAGGGAAAGGGAAAACAATCTAAAAATTTGCAGCATAGCTATCTTTAGAACAAAAATTTGCTTAGATTACACAAACACAGAATGGTAGGCAAGTTATTTACGTCACTCAACATCAAAAGATAACATATTATGGTATATGAAAATAATTGAAGATAAATAAGAAGGATGAGAGACCCTCACATTAAAAAAGAAAAAAAGTGGAAAAATACACAACTAAGATTAAGCAAGCCAAAGTTTTGTGGGCATATTAAAAGCATGCTTTTGCATAACACCAGAAAGGGAAGAAAATATGAGGTTTAAAAACCCTGACAGCTATCACTCCATGGGGAAGAGATAATCAGTTTTCTAGCAAGGAAAAAGTGATTTTAATGTGGCATATATTAGGAAAAAAAGAATTCTTCCATTCATTCCTTTTACTAAGATAATAACAAGCTCACAGGTTCAGATGAATCCTTTAAGTCAAAACCTTTTCAAACTCATGTAAACTAGTAAAACTATACAAAATAGAGAGGGTAAAAAAGTTCATCTAGTCAAAACAACACAACTGTAGTTAATAAAAGCAGACACATATCCCCCATTCAACACTGAATCAAAATGAAGGAGGGTTCTACCAATGAGATGCCAATAAAAATCAACTTTGCCTACCTATCCATAACCAATAAGCTCAAGCGTGTGCAGTAATTGAACACAACCCCAAACCAGCTTGCCAAAGAAAGCCCCTAGTGAAGCCTTTTAATTAACCAATCCAAGCCAATTTAGACATTGTCCCAAGATCCCTTATCAAGGTCTGGTATTTCATTACCAAAATTGAACCTAGATTCCATCTACCTGTAAATGTTTGAACTCCATGCGCACTGTCCCTTTTATCACCTTTAAATTATGTAGCAATGCTTTTTCCAAGAGGTGCTAGCAACTACACTAGCAAGCCAAATTATGCAAGAGCATGAATTAAACAAATGTGATCATGGTTTACACTACAGTAGCAAGACAATTTTTCACTCTGATGTTTGTGTTACCATAGCAGGTTTGCATTTCGGGGGCTTTTCTCTCTTTTCAGGCAAATATCTTTATATAATTTTGAATGTTGAGACAAGACTTATTTAAAGGTGTAGGAGGACTTTTATTTTTTAAATTTTCTGTTATCTAAGAACTCTAAGTTAGTTTTTTTCAGCTTTCCAGGAACAATAATTCAGAACTTGTCGTCTCTATTTCCTGCCACTAGAAACCAGAAGACCAGCCTTTCAGCTGTGATTGATCAATGTTACTCTCTCCTAAATTCGCTCATTAAGCCAACCATAATTATGGTTTGACTTCCTTTTCTATATCTCTAATCTCGCTCCAGGTGAAGCACCTCTCGAAAGCACAATAAAAGAAACACTTCATTTACTCATGGAAATCATTGTCTCACAAAAATGCTTGATACATAACCCCTTTCACCACAATTGTAAAAACCATAAAGAAGTCAGAATGATGCCTTTACTTGTTTATGTATCATCATCTAATTCTTTGCAAGACCTAGTCTCTACCTAATCACAAACTCTTTCCAACCACGCCATCATTATGTCTTATTATGGTATATATTTGTGCATCGTAAAAAGTACAGTATTTTTTAAAACTATTTCTATCCTTACAATATTAAGTACATTATCATGTTTCGCAGAGTTTAGGATACCCATTATACTAGGCAAAAAGTTTATCCTACATCAGACAGAGCTTAGGTTAAAGGTAGCACATAAAAATGGAAAAGCCGAATATTGCCAACAACCTATCCAATTTTTTTCTAGATTCCTTTTTTCAGGTGTTACTTGAAAGACAAACTTCCTTCACCTTTTCTATTCAATATGCAATAATGTAAAATTTATGGTGTAACAACACAATATGTGGGAGAGATATCTAAATTCCAACTAACACAATCCAGATCAAGAGATTTCCAAATACCATTTCTCACGTCCAACAGAATATAGCTCTTGTCATTTACTGCTTCCAGTCTTTTTCTCCATTCTGATGGTGCTATAGCTTTAGCTTGCATTGATGGGTCAAGCAAAGGGAGGTGAGAAATTCCCCCTTCCAACTGAAGAACAAGTAATTGTAATTAGGATGACCTCATAGATGCAACATTTACAGAAAATTCAAGGGAGAGAAATACACAAAAACCTTACTAAAGGATAAAGAATTATTCACTATGCTAATTGAAGGAATAATATTACTTTATAACTATCATTTAATACTTTCATGTTGTATTGAATATATAAACCAACCAAAACTTGGGGGTTCAAATTACCTACAATTATTTTCACAGCAATTCCTATAATTATTCAATCCTAACCATCCATAGTACAAGGGCACATCTAGGAAGCATAGATATAGCTCACAGGCTAGGAAGCACAAACACGGACATGTAATACAGTTACAACACAACAAGGACATCATGACACAACAACTTCTAGAAACTAAGAACAAGGGTACAGCAGAACACAAAAACAAAAAATATTTTTATATATTTTTATATCCATAATTTTTATATATGAATATAAATTGAACAAAATTAGAATGTAACTAATGCTGTGTGTAAAAACAAAATAAAATAAACTTATAAATGCAATTAGAATTGCGTAGGAAAAAGTTAATAAACAAAATTACAAATTTATAAATTTATTTATGTTTAATGTTAATAAATTATAAAATACTAAATTTATTAAACAATTTATTTTTCCCTTTTCTTTTCTCTTTTTTCTTCTTTTCTTTTCTTTCTTTTTTCCTTCCTGTCTCTTCTTCTTTTTTCTTTTTTTCCCTTTTTTTTCCCTTCCAAAACACACCGTTTAGGTGCTATTATATATAACCCAATTTTATTGTTTCATTTTTTCCTTCCCTTTCTCATTCTCTCACTTCACTCTAAACTCCTTTTCTTCTAACCGACAGCCAACGCAACAGCCTGAATTTCGGAAACCTGCCATCACGCAAGCCACCATCTGGCGACAGCTATTTTCAACCAAAAAATAGCCAAAACTCCTCTCCACTTCCTCTATCTTCCTAACCAGCTAGATTTCTAAAAAAAATAAGAAAAGCCCACATCTACCAAAAAACCATGGCCTCCATCCCCTTTTTTTCACTGTTTTCCATCACCTAATCTGTGTACAAGCATGTCTTGACTGTGTCAAGACTGTGTCTAAGTTTTTTATTCAGTGTCCCAACATGTCCCATACGTATTCCAATGTGTCAGAGATGTGTCCGTGTTGGACACCAGTACAACACCAGTATGGGAAGGTGGATGTCGTGTCTGTGCTTCCTTGCTCACAAGATACATAGATATGCCAATTAAAAAAATATGTTTTAATGTTTCTTTATTATATATAATTTCATCGATAATGAATAAAGTATACAAAAATATGCTAAAAAGTCTCTCAAATCTTACAAAGTTTATTTAGAGAATATTTTGTTATCGCAAATCCTTATTACAGGATTACTATTATACACATGTTATACGTGTATTCGATATATTTCAAACTAATCTGGCCCAATAGCTTTAGAGGCTTTGAAAGTGTAATCTCCTAAGTTCTAAACCTTTCAACCAAAAGCCTACTTGACCCAACCCAATATAATCCATATTCTAAAACCGGTTTTCTCCATCTTCACCAACGAAGCAGCAGCCAAGTTGCAATGCAACATCAAAACTCCTTCCACTCCTTGATCACATCACCTTCCAATCAAACTTTCGTCTCTACTCTGAGCCTTTTCAATCAAACTTCCATCATTAATGTAACCCCAGAGCAAGGGAATCAAACTGTTCTTGAAGTTTCTCTCTTCACCTCTGTCTCTCTTTTCAGAAAATGGCTTCGCACCAATCTTTTGTCCTTTCAACAATGTATGTAACTCATGTCTGGCATGTTTTGGTCATGTTTTGCCAATGTCCTGATAGTTTATTATATTTTTGGCCTGTCCTTTGGTTTCATATACATATTCGAGTGTATTGGAGGCGTATCTGTGTCAAGCATGATAAGACACTACAATGCTATGTTTTTTAAGCATCCATACTTCATAGGCCCAACTAGTACTTAAATAGAGCACACATGGACCAAATATCCATAAATGGCTGAGATTTCATTGCTATATGCAATTAATTGTAATTGATATGAATCCAAAACCAATGGAGCATATGCTGCTGATTGTGACAACACCAAAGTTGGAGAAAAGGCAATCATGATGAATCTAGCATTGTAGGCAAGGGATCGAGAAAGGGAAGAGACAAGTGAAGAGTACTGAGCAAAAGAGAGCTGAAAAAAGAGTATTGCAATACCCAAACATCCAGATCAATGAGATAAACGATAAATGTCCATAATTATAGCCATCAAACCCAAGTTCAACAAATAGGAACTTCCATATACAACCTAAACATAAGTAAAACTCTAATAATGAAATCAGATGGTTCTGCATTATCATCCCCTAGCCGGAAGAACACAGATCCATAAAGTTAGACCACAAATACCAATTTGAAGGTTCAAGATACAACATGTAGGACAAATAGAGGTAACTAAACATTGTTAAGTTAACTGGTTGAAATATGTTGTGAGAGAAACAAGGTAACCAGGACTTAATTGTCTACTATTTTATCCTTTCAATACCTTTAGAAGCCCATCAGCTTGAATTAAAAAGAGAGATAGCTCCCTCCCATTCCATATGCCCAGCCTCCCCTCCACAAGACTTGAATCCAAGTCGTCCAACTCCAAGTTCAAAGTTCCAAGTTCTAAAATCAGAGTGTCCCCTTATTTACTTAAAATAACTTTGTTCATCTACATATCGGCAACACCAGTTGAGAGTGTTAATAGCTTTGAATCTTGTACATATTCATCTTGTTCTTTCCACCTAAATTCATGTTTTTAAGTTAGTTGAATCCTTACCAAATATATTTACGATTTGCATACCAAGGTTAAATGAAAGGTTGCTATTTTATAAATTATAAAGTTACAATTAATGTGCTTCTTATGTTAGGATTTCAGTACTGGTGAGAGTGTATTAGTTATTCAATTTAAGTCAGTTAAACATGCCATTAAGAAATTGTATTTTTGTGGGAAGAGATCATTTTCTACCAACTGAAAACATGAATGTGATACATGGTTTACTTGTTTGACTTAAATCACTTGAGTTTTTGTTTGCTTTTCAAATTTGGAGATTTATAGCCTTATAGGGATTTATTTTCTCTTTTTGCCTCTTTTGTTTCTTCTAAGTACCCCTTTGTTTCTTCTAAGTACCCCTGCAAGCCCTTCTTCTCATATGATGCCGAAATTTCTAAGTAACAAGAGAATGAAATTGTCCTGGCCAATGGGATTTTTTCTAAGAAAACTACAAACAAAATTGTAATCTAGAGAAAGAATATTCTAGAAGCAAAAATCTACGAAGAAATAAAGGTTGGCATTACAAGAATAATTAACTAAAGGCATATGGTGTACGCTACAGTGGGGAAGAAAGAATATAACACAATTAAATGTCAAGGAAATGGAATGCACCAAATTCGAAAAGAATTAGCAGATATGCAAAGACAGAAACACACATAATCATATTGCTTACTTGTACAAGTGAGGGCTTATATCGCAGCTTTAGTTTCGGAAAGGCATGCCCATTCAATGCGGGAGATGTCTGAACTAGTACATCAGAAAATTTTTCATCTTCTTTTAACCATTCAACATATGCAAAAGCATCTCTGAAGGGCCCACTGTACTGCAAAAGAAGGGGCGCACAGACGACAAAATTATTGGTATATAGATATAAGATACAAGAGAAACATGAACAATTACTCTAAGGAATCTGGTAGGCATCATACACTGAACCAAGCTCTGCAACTTTCTATCATTACCATCAATAATTTAATTGCATTCAAGAACTACTCTGCCCTTCCTTTTTCAAAACAATATGCTATTTGACAACTTAAGTATTTTAAAAGAAAAGGAGGAATTGGAGAAAAAGAGGAAAAAGAAAGGAACAAAAACGATCAAACTGGCAAGAAGAACTAAGCACAAAGAGAGGATTGAATGAAGATAGGGAAAAAAAAATGTACAAGATACATAGAAAAGTATATGAGAAGGTTCATATGCATTACACATAACTTAAATCTCTGTAGTTTATATTTGAAAAATAACTGTAAAAAGTCAAAAATGAAGCAAGAATTACCATTTGCAAGCTACTCTTTCTTTATTCAATTATTAATTAATAAAAACGCAATGGAGCAACTGAAGAATACCTGTGCATTAATCCCTTGTTCATTTATATAGATTCGGCCATGTATGTCCAAACCCTGGAAAAGAAAAAGGATGAAATGCTTGGTAGAGCACAGGAAAGGAATTAACAGACAAGATAAACCTTTAAGAAGGTGAGGTGCTTTGCAATTTCGTGTTGAGGGTCTTTGATGAAGACAAAGCGATAAAAATTGACCACCACAAAATTATCAATCCCAGGCTCAGCTTGGCAGGTTTTATTCTTGTTGTTGAATTTGGATGCAGATGCCGACGCACAGCATCGAATCGAAATAGCACAAGGAACTTTTCTCCTATTATTGGATTTTATTGGAAAACCATAATGGAAACAACAGCAATAAGTAGCCGCTGCTGCCTTTGGCAATGGGTATGGGGTTAAACTGAGAGGACCCATGGAAGTATGCGCACGCCAAACTCTCATCCCTCCCCTTCGCTTCTTTTGACCTTTCTTTTACTGTTTATCCTTTTTTTTTTTTTCCAACGCGGCCCGGGGGGAATTGGTTGGTTTTACGAATTAAGCTAATGGTTTTTGAGAAAAAAAAAAATGAAGGATATAAAGAGGGCGGATAGGGGCTGATGCTTTTGAAAGCAGACTAAGGCCCAGTCTAGTATTGCTGTAGCCAAAAACGCTTAAGAAAAAAAACATTTTTTTTTAAATTAGGGTGAAAAAAAATGTCATGTTGTTAAAAATTTTAAATGCTTAATATTATTAAAAAAAAAGTGTTATTCATTGTTAAATCCGATGACATGATCGCGGAGCAAATGACATGGTGTTGACTTCTATTACATAGCATTAAATCTTCTTCAAATAATTATTTGATGATTTATTGATTTAAATATTTAAATGTACGTCACCAAATGTGGATTGGACGAGTAATTGAATGCCTAAATTAATAAAACTTAATTTTTTTTTTTAATAAAATCAATCGAAACCTAAAACTTTTTAAAAAATCTAAAATTTTCCGAATGATGAAACCAAATTCTAAAATTTTCTATAGCAAAACGAAACCTAATTACATAAAAATAAAAACAAAATCCAAAGGGTTTTTAGTGTAATTCGTTTCATATTTTGATCAAGATTAAAGGAACGGAATATATATTCAAAAAATGAGAAAAAATATAAAACTGTAACCCGAAATCAAAAAGGATTTGAGATGAGAAGAATTTTTTAGCAAAAATCTAAAAAATAGCTAAATATTGAAGACAAAGGAAAGTGAGAAGTGGGAGAAAGTGAAGAAAAAGACAATTTTTGTGAAGCGAGTACATTGAGAGAGGCAAATAGAACTTACGGATAGGTGAGTTAAAGCCTTTTTTTTTTTTTAAACAAGAGTAGAGATATAATTCCTACAAAATAAATCTCTTATTCTACAACTTTTTTAATGCAAAAGAGGACACTCCTCCATCCAATACTAGGTCTCACTTTGGCAAAGAGCCCTTTTAGCTAGCAAATGGATTGGCTTGTTTGCTTTTTGAAACACATGATTGCACTTCCAGGTTTCCATCCTTTCAAGCCTCAGTTGGATCTCCTCTATCAGAATGCTTCAAACTTTTGTATCTGCTATATCACCTTCTTTGCATCACTTTCCACCTCAATCCTATTAAATCCCATATCGGTTGCTAAGTTAACTGCTTTTATTGACACTATTGCCTCAATGATGACTAGATATCGGACACTGATCACCTGTTTGCATAATGCCCCCATTACTTCTCCATCGTGGTTCCTGACTAATAACCTTACTCCTCCGAGCCTATCAGCGTTGTTCAACGCCCTATCGAAATTCAGCTTGTTATATTTTTTGCTGGCGCTTTCCAAATCGCCTGCTCTCTTGGACCTTTCTTAATCTCCACTTCTTGTACATTTTTGTACTCCTGTATGTAATCCATGGCATATTTGGCAATTTTTTGGTGGTTCCAGACCTTGTGATTAATAACCTCCTCATTTCTGCTATGCCACAAAGACCAAGCTGTGGTGATAATTATATCCATCTTTGTAGATTCCATCCTCCTTATTACAGATGATATCTAATTCCCAACATTCTGCCATTGTTGTCCGTCTACCACATCACCCACTTTAATCTCTTCCCACACCTTTGATGCACAATGACATTTGACAAGTGTGCGGATGACCGTTTCTTCCTCTTGCTTACATCTTGGACAAGTTGCCATATCCATCAGCTTCCTCTCTTTCAACTTAGCATAAACTAGGAGTATTTCATGAGACACTCCCCATGCAAAAACTTGTATTTTACTTGGGACTTTAAGTTTCCATATTTTCCCCCAAAACTCCCCTTTGCTCATTGTTCGCGACAGTGATAGATGTCATGTCACGTCTATCAAGCCTTTTTGCCATTCTGCTTGTGGAACCACATAGCTGCTTCTGACCATGTATGTTCCTTCTTTTTTATGATGCCAAATTAGTTCATCTTTTAAGTCTGCATCAATTAAAGGAATGGACATAATTTCTTCTATCATATCCCTTGTAAAATAGCTTTCCACCTTTTGGATGCTCTACTGGTTGGTACCTTTAGCTAACAAATCTCGCACATTCATATCCATAAAGATGGTAGTATCATTAGGAGCTGGAATAAAATAATCAGCCTTCGAAACCCATGGATCCTTCCATACTCTAATCTTTGTCCCATTTCCAACCCTCCATCGAATTCTACGTATACGAAGCTTTCTTCCTTTACAAATACTCTTCCAAATGTAGAATGGTTTCCTTCCTATTTCTGCCTCAAGGAAAGAACAGTTATGAAAATATTTCTCTTTTCGCACTTTATTCACCAATGATAAGGTATTACGAATTAGGCACCACCTTTGTTTGGCTAGTAAAGCTATATTAAAATGTTCCATCTCCCGAAACCCCATGCCACCCATTTCCTTGCCCCTCACATAGTTTCCACTATGCAAGCCAATGAATCATTTTCCCTTTCTTTCCATTATTCCACCAATAGCTGCTTATTGTCATATTAAGTTCATTGCACAACCCCTTAAGAAAAATGAAACACGACATCGCATGTGAAAACATCGAATGTAATACAGCTTTGATGAATATTTCCTTCCGTCCTGCTGAAATGCACCTCTAGTTCTAACTTATCACTCTCTTCTTCATCTTGTTTATTATGCTTCTAAAGGCTCGCTTTTTCCCCCTCCCAATTAACATAGGAGTCTTAAGTATTTCTCTGCGTTGTTGGTGACCTGTATGTCGAAAATGCCTTTCACCGTGTCCTATCTGTCTGCACTCATATTCTTACTAAAATATAGCTTTGATTTGTCGTAGTTTGTCTTTTGCCTAGAACTTTCTTCATACATCTTAGTATGTTCCTCACCCTTTCACATTCTTCCGGGTTTCCTTTCATGAAGAGCAAACTATCATCTGCGAAAAATAAATGAGTAATCTTTGGCCCATTACAACTTGCTCGGACTCCACTTAGTTTACCTTCTTATTATGCTTTGGACAGAACCGCTGATAGACCTCTGTGCACATTCAAAATAAATAAGGTGATAAAGGGTCCCCTTGTCTGAGGCCTCTTTCTACAATAATTGTACCAGTAATTAAACCATTGATGCAGACGTTGTGTTTGACAGATCGCACACACTCTATAACAAGCGAAACCCAACAACTGCTAAACCCTATTTTCCTCATGACCTTATTAATAAAAACCCATTCTACCCTGTCATAAGCTTTACTCATATCTAACTTTAGGGCTACTCAACTTTACTTTCCTTTTTTTTTTTTATGACTAAGACCATGAAACAACTCATATGTAATAACTACATTACCAATGATTAATCTACTCGGGACAAAGGCACTCTAGTTTTCACTAATACAAGATAGTAAGACATCTTTCAACCTATTAGCTATAACTTTAGTAGTGATTTTATACAACATATTACATAAATTAATATGACAAATTTGGGGCATTTTAGTTGGATTAGGCACTTTTGAAATAGGCACAATATTAGTTTTATTAACCTTATCCAAACTACCCTCCCCATTTAAAATCAAGAGACAATGATCAGTAACCTCAGAAACTATGATATGCCAAAATTTATGGAAAAATAAGGCAGGCATACGGTCCAGACTAGGTGCCTTTGATGGGTGGATTTGATTTGAAGCTACATTTATCTCCTCAGATGTAAATTTGGTTTTTAACAGGCTGGTCATCTCGTTCGTTATACATGGAGTAATTGCCTATAAGATTACATCACAATCAGTACTCCTTTGAGTGTGGAATATATCTGTGAAATATTGTTTGGTTTCCTTGACCACTACTACTTCACCCTCGTGCCACTGCACCCACTCATCCTCTAGTCCTTAAATCTGGTTGACACGATTCCTCTGGGATGCACAATTATGAAAAAAAATGTGTTTTTCTATCTCCCTATTTAAGCCACGTAATTCGGGACTTTTGGAGCCAACAAACTTTTTTTTTTAAGAGATTATTCAACCGTTCCTTAACCACCACTTCCTTACTTATATTTACTTCATCAAAGCCATGTGTCTGGATATCATGAAGCTCCTCGTTCAATATTTCTTTTTCTTCGTGTAGCTCGTGGAAGTGTTCCCTCCCCGATGTTGTCAACTTCTTCAGAATTTTGTCAAGCTTTTGTTCTACTTCAACCCCACAGTCCCATTTCCAGTTGTCTTTAATTATTTGTTTATAACCTGTATCTTTCACCCAAAACGCCTCAAAATGTTTCCTCCGAGATCATTTCCTTCCCTTTCTCATTTTTGTTTGCCCTTTCATGTCTACCATAATAGGATATTGGTATAAGATCGGATTAGACAGATGCATCATTGTGGCGTTTGGGAACAATTCCATCCAAAGAGGATTTACTACTGCTCGATCAAGCTATTCTCGATCTCTATTCGTTGGTGAATTCCCTTTAGTCCATGTGAAGCTTGGCCCTTTAAAACCCATATAAACTAATCCTGCGTCCTCTAAAGTACTCTTGAACTCCTTCATTTGCCTTACAGGTCTACCTTCTCCCCCTCTTTCTCCTCATCCCATAATATTTCATTGAAATCTCCTAAACATATCCATGCTAAGTGATTATCCTTAGCCAACTGCTTAAAAGTATTCCATGCTTTATGCATTTCCCTTGTATCTGGTTCACCATAGAATCTTTTTAAATGCTATTCTTTCGCCTCTTGATCCTTTATCTCTGAGTCTATATGGTATCTAGAATAGCTCGACAATCTAACATTTAAACCCTCCTTCTAAAGTAGTAGTAAACCTTTGCTTCTACCATTCGCATGTACCCCTAGTATTCCATGCATCCCGCACTTTTTTCTTTACTCTGTCTAACTTTTTTGTGCTTGAAATAGTCTTGCTAAGAAAAACTATTTCAGGATCTTCTCTCCTCGGTATCTTCTGAAGAGCACGAACTATTTGTGGGTTCCCAAGCCCACGACGGTTCTAGGCTATACACCTCATTACTTTCGATGGGCCTAGTTTCTAAGTCCCACCGTTTATTCTAATTTTCCTTTTAAATCCCACTCAGAATCCTTTTTAGTAC